TTCTCATGTAATTTAATACCAGTTCATTCAGAGGTTTTGGTGTTACAGGGCCCTGTTATTTAATTTAGACTACCATGTGTGCCAGCTCCCATTCATTACTTAATATGGAATAGATTTCATATGTATTTCGTGTGTGAATTTTCACAAAAGGTCATGAATTCCGTGGGGTGCCTGGGAGACTCCGTCGGTTAAGCATCCAGCAGTTGATTTTCGTTCAGGTCGTGATGTTAGGGTTGTGAGATCACGCCCCGCTTTGGGATCCGTGCTCAGATCAGAATCTGTACAGGATTCTCTCCCTACCTCTTCTTCTGCGCCTCCCCCAACTCTCTCTCTCAAATAAATATCTTCAAAAAAAAAGATTCCGTGAGTATTGTGGGAGAGGTAAGTACAAATGAACTACATAAAAGAGAAAAATATGAGTCTTCCGAGAGGTGGCGTTATCAGTATTTTGGCACTTAATCTTCCCTGTTGCTTTTAGGTCTTTGTGAACCATCTCGACCATAGCAGAGAAACTATGGTCCGCCTCTCAGGCTAGACATGCAAGAAATGTAGGAGCTCAGGGATCTTAACTCCAAATCCAAATGAGGATGTGGGTGCATTTCCCTTAAAGTAAAACTGTCCAAGGGAAATCCTCATTGGCAAAACATGTAAGTTAAGACTTGATTTATTCAGACCACAGGATTCACACAGGATTCTTTAGCCAGAAAATAGTGTCACATTTTAAATATTTAATTTCAGGAAGAAATCTGTACTATAAATCAATTTTTGAAAGCCATTTTCGAATTAGAAAAAGAAAAGTTGGCTTATAAGACAGTTAACAGTTGGGGGCGCCTGGGTGGCTCAGTGGGTTAAAGCCTCTGCCTTCGGCTCAGGTCATGGTCTCAGGGTCCTGGGATCAAGCCCTGCATCGGGCTCTCTGCTCAGCAGGGAGCCTGCTTTCTCCTCTCTCTCTGCCTGACTACTTGTGATCTCTATCAAATAAATAAATAAAATCTTAAAAAAAAAATAAAAGACAGTTAACAGTTGAATGTAATAGGTAATGTCACAGTGATATCAATCTTGGACAAATACATCAATAATATAAAGAAAACATTAATTGGAGAATTCTCTGGGGATGCTTTGACTAATACTGAGTCCTCACCCCAAGGTGCGTACAGTCTGCTAGGGAAACAGACGGTTACTAAAGCAGTGCAAATGCTGCTAGAGTAGAGTCAACCCTCAGAGCAGTGATCCAGGAACTACATGGTCAATAAATGAGAGCAATCCCATAAAAATCTTGTTCTTTCTTTTTTCTTTTTTCCACCTTATATAGCTTAAATATCAGGATCATTGACATCAAATTACAGATTGTCTCTGTAGACACAAACAAAACATACAATCAGTAAGTACCTCGGGGTCATTAGCAGCATAAGTTTTGTTAGATTTTGTGAGAAATTCTTAGAATTGGCTTAATGGGAAAATTCAGTCACATGAATTCAACTCTGATGGACTTTATATATTTATTTATTTTTAGGATTTTATTTATTTATTTAAGAGAGAGAGATCACAAGTAAGCAGAGAGGCAGGCAGAGAAAGTGGGGTGGGGGAAGCAGGCTCCCCGCTGAGCAGAGAGCCCGATGCGGGGCTTGATCTCAGGACCCCGAGATTATGACCTGAGCTGAAGACAGAGGCTTAACCCACTGAGCCACCCAGGCGTCCCAACTCTGATGGACTTTAGAGAAAAATTAGAGATATGGCCGAAGTACAGGAAAGCTGTATTTTTTCCTTCAGAAGGAAAATGGCATATATTTTTAAACTTTTGGAAGAAAGGTACCAGTTCAGGTCAGTTTTTATAGAAATTATCCAGCACATGCTAATCTGGAGGCTTTAAATGATCATTCTGTGATATTAGTAAACACATAAACCAGAGCTAATGCTCTATCCTTCATTTTATGTTTTTTAATAGATTTTTTTTTTCTTACCAGAGTGGCATAATTTATCACAGAAGGTAGAGCCTAGGTCTCAAAAAATACATTTATCAAAAAAAGAAGTTTCAACAACTTTCTAAAAAGACTATTATTCATTTATCTTACATTTTTAAACTGTGTAAATTCCTCCATCCTCCCTATTAATCTCTGTGACTCTTGTTAGCTTTCCCTGCTCGTGAGAATATCTTTCACTGTAGCATAAAATAATGCTCCATTTCAGCTCTTTTGCTGTAATGGTTTAGATCACTGTAACACCTAAAGTGGCTTGTTTTCTTTTTCAACTTCCTACTCTTATGGAAAAGAGAAAGATGAATTCTGTCTTCTTTAGGTTGGATGAAGGGTAAAAAGAAAAAACACCAAGGAATTTGCCAGTATTCAGGGGAACTATTTTTTTTTTAAGATTTTATTTATTTATTTGATAGAGATCACAAGTAGGCAGAGAGGCAGGCAGAGAGAGAGAGGAGGAAGCAGGCTCCCCGCTGAGCAGAGAGCCCGATGTGGGGCTCAATCCCAGGACCCTGAGATCATGACCTGAGCCAAAGGCAGAGGGTTTAACCCACTGAGCCACCCAGGTGCCCCAGGGGAACTATTTTTAAATGATGTCAGCTCTTTGCAGTGATCTTTATGAGGGACCCATACACATCACCAGAGTGAGAGCCCTTGAAAGGAGAATGTGCACCATAGGGTCAAGGCTGACACGAATGTAAATTCTTCTGTCCCATAACGGGCTAGAGTGTATCAATGGCATTTCCATTTGTTGACATTTTGTAATTTTGAACCAAATGCAACCCAATGTATTGGTATTTTCAAATGATTTAAGATAGTTTTTTAAATATTTTAGATCAGCGCCTGGGTGGCTCAGTCGTTTAAGCATCTGCCTTTGGCTCAGGTCACCCCAGGGTGCTGGGTTTGCACCGCGCATCGGGTTCCCTGCTCAGCAGGGAGTCTGCTACTCTCTCCCTCTCTCTCTCTCCCTCCCCCCATGCTTCTGTTCTCTCGCTCACTCTCTCTCTCAGATAAATAAATAATATTATTTAAAATAAAATATTTTAGATCAGATGGAAAATGCTTTATTAACTGTGAGGCGGGACATCCATAAAATGTCAAGTGAGCAACAACTTGCCTGCCAGTTTCAGTGTCACTAGAAGACACAAATCCTAATAGTGTAGCATTTGTCTGTTGGCACATCTCACTAATAAATAATCAGATTTTTTTATTCTCCCTTTTCACTTTGAAATAGATGTGGTACCCAATGCTCGCCCTACGTACCTATTTCAGTACTAATTCCTCACTGTTTTTAATTTGGGGCAGAGACTTGGGGGATGAGGAGGGGGAAGCATGTTGAATGCAAAGTTATGGCTCAAAATATAAACACGAAAATCATCCCAGACACATTTAAACAGCAGATGTAACCTTTTTTTGATGGTTTTGTTTTGTGTTGTTTTCGCTTGTTGTTACTTTTTTTATTTGAGTAGAATTGACACACAGTGTTTCATTGGTCTCAGGGATACAATATTGTGATTCAGCTTCTCTCTGTGCTGTGCTGTGCTGTGCCCATCCCAAGTGCAGCTGTCATCTGTTCACGCAACGCTAGTACAGGGTCACTGACCACATTTCCTATGTTGTGCCCTTTATTTCCTTGACTCAGTCATGCCATAAGGGCAGCCTGTATCTCCCACACCCCTTCCTCCATTCTGCCCATCTCCCACCCACCCCCGAGGCAAGTGAGTAATTTTATTTTAAGAGGAGTTAGAGATACCAAAATGGACATGCACATAAGTACAGGCTAAGTTTGACAGCCAAGTTCAGTGCCAGCAGTATTGGGTATGAGTTACTATGGTAACTAGTAACTGAGTTTAGTACATTTAACCTTTTAATCATAGTATTATGTGGTTTTCTTCAGAATCATTCTTATTTATTTTTATCCAATTAGAAAATAAGACAGGGCTGGAGGGGTGCTGCATCTGTTTACTTTCTTAGCATGGATGTATGTAAACACACATATCTATATATTTTTTTCGAGAGACTTCTATATACACATTATATAAAAGTTGGAGTTAACGTAAATAAACTCCAGAAGAGGAATTCCAACAAAAACGTTTTCCCTTGTTCACTGTCTGTGCATGTATGCATTTGTATGTCATGCTGTCTTTTTTTGATTCTGTGTTTCTCCCTTATTCAATATTTATAAAGACCGCTAGGGCAGATGCCTTAAAACAACTGGATGATCATCAGGAGTTAGGCTGCGTGAAATGCCTGTGTCCATCTTCTCTGTATAAGTGACCGAGGATCGGGGGGGAAAGAAAAGGAAAGTAAAGTATCAGACTTTCAAACCACATTCAGGTTAAAGGGCACCGGCCATCGCGGCGCGTATTCTGCCTAAAGGACAGGGCTTTCATTTGATAAAGATCATTAGTCACTGAGATATATATTTTAGAGAGCTCCAAGTAGCAAATAGTTCTGTTGGCAGTCACTGGAGTGTACCAGATGGTTCATTAGCATAGGCTAGACAAGTCAAAGGCTTTCAGAATCATTTAGAAAATGTCAAACAGAAACAAGAACCCTGTCACTTTTTATTAGAATTAACTACATCATACCCTGGACACAGATTTCACCTTGGGTCAGAAAAATTAATACAGAATTATATGAATTGTGTAATATACTGGGTTAAGATAGGTCTTTCTCTAGGGACTCATTTGCCGGCAATATATTATGATCCCTCTACTTTAGGAATCCTCAAACCTTTCCTTTTGTAAGATATGAAAAGAGTTGACCTTGCTCAAAATCCATTGGTGTCTAATTGATTTGAGGTATATGCAGAATTTCAACAAGACATTCTTCTAAAGCTCTTTTGTGAGCCTTTTCCCGGGAAGCTTGGCGAGTGGGGCTTACTGAATATTCAGCAGCCTATAAAGTATGCTTTATGTCAGGAGGAAAATACATCCATTAATTGAACACACGGCTGTAGTAAACAGGAATTAAAATGCCATTAAAATAGTGTCTCTTTTTTTTTTTTTTTTTTTTTAAATCCAGATGTCAAAAACCTTGAGAACTTCCAGCTGGTAGAAGGCGTCCAGGAACAAGTCAATGCCGCCCTGCTGGACTATACGATGTGCAACTACCCACAACAAACAGAGAAATTCGGGCAGCTACTTCTTCGACTACCCGAAATCCGGGCCATCAGCATGCAGGCCGAGGAATATCTCTACTACAAGCACCTGAACGGGGATGTGCCCTACAATAACCTCCTTATTGAAATGTTGCATGCGAAAAGAGCTTAGGTTCCAGCCCCTAGAAGCTCTGCTTTCAAAACAAAAAGAGATTGGTGAGGGGGGAAAGACAGGAAGAAAGGAAAAAAAAAAAAAAATACTCTGAACTGCTCCAAGCAACACTAATTAAAAACTTGGTTTAAAGATATTGAGTTTAAAAAGGCATAATAATCAAATACTTACTAGCAAATAAATGATGTATCAGGGTATTTGTATTGCAAACTGTGAATCAAAGGCTTCACATCCCCAAAGGATTCCATATAAAGACACGGTAACGGAGTGGATTGAACTCCTGGATAGATACCAACACCATACTGGAATAAAAACGGATGGAACAATTCTTGTATAGTTAAACTGATCTCCGCTGTGAAGAAATTTAGAAACTGATCTGTGTTATTAATTAGGCTTCTACAGCGGGGGATTTGAGCTTATGGAATGCCTCCACGGTAAAGCTGAACTAAAACGACTCAAAAAAAAAAAAAAATCCATCGGCTGCGTCTGTAATAGCTCTTCCCTCTTCCTTTCAAGGACCCAGCACCTTCTGTCCTGTGATCACGGAATCTGTCCTTATGGACTTGTGCTCAGCCACACCCACTAGTAGCTCCACCAAATCATGAAAAGCCTAATTTTGAATGTCTGTGTCTTAGACCTGCAAACAGTTGATAAGAACATATCTGTAATATGTTAGCTTGCCATTTTAAATATGTTCTGGGTTCTGTCATGTGTTCATGTTAAAAAAAAAAAAAGCAGGCAGTATCCCTCTTCTGACCTTATATAAGCATTAATTAATATTAAGGGAAAGGACTACAAACTTAAATGCTCCATAGCTAAAGCACGCTAGACCTTATTTCTGCTTCTGTTACTGAATTGTGGCTTTGGCGTTGTCAGATTTCATGAAAATTTCTTGCCAAAAGGCTCGTTAGGGTACATCCATCTTTTGAACCATCAAAGTTTATAGTTCGTTTGAAAATAAAACCTGAAACATATTTTAATCTGGGATGTCAAATAGTCACAGTGCTAAGTAGTTTAAAGTAAAACCGAAGCATGTTAAGCTATGCAAAAAGAAAGGAAAAGGTGAGCTTATCAATTGTCTCAAGTCTCCTGCTTGTTGCAGTTGAACACCCCCTTAACATAGAATGGCAACAGTGATGCCTACAGATGGACTGGAAAGATACTAAAGCAATCCCAATCTTCCCCAAAAGGTGAAGGAAGAGAGTGATACTGACCTTTCTGAGTCATAGACCAAAGTCTGCTCTAGAACAAATATTGAAGGACAAAGACTTGCAAAACAAACTCTCCCAACAACGATAGCAGTATTATTGACATGTAATGCCACAGGTATAGAAGTCTTGCCTTATTTCACAATTCTGAGAGGTAGCTGTGCAGATGTGGATCAACATTTGTTTAAAATAAAGTATTAATACTCTCAAGTCAAAAGATAGTGTTTACATTCTTTAGGTCCTGTGGGGGGAGGGAGGGAAAACTGATATTACAAAATAGCTAAAGCAGTAATTTCCTTAATGTTATTTTTCTGATTGGTAATTATTTTTAACAGTACTTAATTATTGTATGTCGTGAGACACTAAAATCAACAACGGGAATCTCATTTAGACTTTGATTTTTTTTTTTTTTTTGAGATTATCAGCGGCACAATCACTTGTAAAAACTGTAAAAACTGAAAAGTATCTCCTAGTCCCTTAATTTTTTTCATAAATGTTTCAGGCTTTTGAATAGTTTATTTATATTGTATATCATAGTTTCAACTGTAGACAATGATGATGCTAATTTATTGTTCTTAGTTTCACCTTTGTATAAGATATAGCCAAGACTGAAGAAACCAAATATATGTGTTTACTGTAGCATGTCTTCAAGTTAGCAGAACATAGTTCAGGGACAGAGAAGGGTCTTAATGAATTAAAATCATCCACTTGATTAAATGTCTGTAAATCTACATAATTACCACTGTAGTTTATTTAATATCTATTGTAAATTATGTGACTGGTAGTTTCCTCTGTTTTCAAGTAAGTTTAACAAGGGTGGAGTCTTCCCTGGTTTCCTCTACAAGCATTGTAAGTTGTATACCAAAGATATGAGTTACTACTTCTGTGTGTACAAAAGGATTATTTTATTATTTTTTAATCGCCTCTAATATTCGTCCACATGAAGGGTACACGTTCGCTAAGCGGAGTGTTCACAGCTCCTCAATGCAAAGTCTCAGTCACCTGTAATCACAGTTCAAAGGACAAGGAAAAAGAGCTGATCAGAGTCCATGTCCAAAGCTTTAAGTGGACCGGCAGTATCCTTACTCTCCTCCGTTAAAAACCAACTTGGCTAGAAGACCTGTGGAGAGGAATGGATGTTGTCAACACTGAAATGGTTGCGTCCTGTATGTGGAACATGGGTGGCGCCAATTACGAGATTGGTGGGATAGTTATTTGGAGTGTCTTTAACATTGCAAAAAACAAAAAACCCCTAAGTACATTGATTCTGAAAGTCCATGTTCTCTTATTTTAAATAACACAGTAGTACTCTCCGCTGAAAATAAAACCTAGGAAATGTCAATTACTGGTATGTTGTTAAACTAGCAAATTCCATCCTAAGTGCAGTTAGAAAGACAGACAGGCAACACGGAGAGTTAGGTCCACACTCGTGGAGATATCAAGAACAGAAATTGAAAAAAAAAAAAAAAAACCCACACCAGAAATTGATAAACAAGAATGTACCCCAGCCGACTGTGGTCCATCCACGGTTGGCCAGGGATATTTCTCTAGTGCTCGCTGTTAACCCGTCTGCCACGAGACATATCCTTAGCAACTGCCTTACCAGTTACAGGATTCATTAGTAAAAGCAGACTCAGATATAAACTTTTTTTGGCTTAGCGTGGTTTATTAGAATTGGTCTCTGTAAACAGACAATCTGTCATGTCTGAACATTTGTACTGCAGATCCACAGCTACCTTGGACCTGAATCCATGCAATGTTTGGAGTGTGAAGTTGGTTACTTGTTGGCGTTTTCTTACTGTATCAGTGAAATAACATATTGTCATGTCAGTTCTTGCCAGGAATTTCTCGACAAAATGGATTTTTTTTTCAGTATTTCAATAAATATTGATATGCCCAGCCTGATAATTTTTAAAAGTTTTTATGCTGTCCTCATTCTATTAACTAAAGCTTCTGAGTAATTGAGATCCTTGACTGGGAGCGGAGTCTGAAGATTTCCACCCCGAGTAGATAACTTTCCCCTCTCCAGATGGTATCTAGAATAGTCTCGTCCAAGGTTGGGTAGCTGAAGCGTTAAACGATCTGTGCGTCCTCTCTCCACATGAAAAAAGCATTTTATATTATTGTTATAACAGATTAGCAGAAATATCTTAAAAGTGTCTTAACTTTTTTTCTACCCTGTCCGCTAATAAACTTAACAAGTACTTTGTGGATTCAAGTGACCTTCAGAACAGCTCCATTTGCTATTACTATGTTCCTCTTAAAGTTTCTAGCTTAGAGTGAGAAACTAGTGCATGAAGGAGCAGTAATTTGAACCCAAGCAGTTTGGCTCTGCACTCTCTCTAAACCAGGGTGACACTAAGGATTTGCTTGAAAAGAAGATATTATGGGGCTCCTGGGTGGCTCCGTTGGTCAGGCAACTGCTTTCAGCTCAGGTCATGATCCTGGAGTCCTGCATCAGGCTCCCTGCTCAGTCGGGCGGGGGGGGGGGGTCTACTGCTCCCTCTGCCTGCTGTTCCCCTTGCTTGTGTTCTCTCCCTCTCTGATTCTCTCTCTCAAATAAAAAAACCTTAAAAAAAAAAAACAGATAAAATCAGGCATCGAATCACTACTACGTATACAAATGTCAATGATGTGAAACCCTAAAACCCTTTTTATGTTTTCTGGAGTTTAACCCTAAACAGTAATGTGTATGTCCTAGAAATTAACCTTTTTCAGTACCACTGAGACTTTGGAGATGTTTAAAGCAAGGAAATAGGTACAAAATCCATTTTGGAAATTAGTAATTACCTCTATTACGAAATAACACAAGAGCAACAAAACAATATGCTTATGAAACATTGTGGTCTGGTGAAAGCTCTCTCCTTTCGCCCTGCCTCTGCCTTCCCAGGGTAAGCAGGAGTCATAATCTCTTTGCCAATAAGGCACTGATTTTTCTTTGGATCCTTCAAAAAGACACCAAGGAATCAGATTCAAAATGCTGCATTTACGTTCTAGTAGATCACGGAACTAAGATTTTTAAGCAACTGAAGAGTGGCCTACAAAAGACGTCTCCCTCATCAACCTCTTACCAGGAAGAAATTTATTTAAAACAAAAAATTCCTTGACATTCCATGGAATATGGAAATAATGTATTCATATTTGATTGAACTGTAACTTACATACAGAAAAGTATGCAGCTAGATCATCCCATAAGTCCAGCAGGGTCCAGAACACCAATTTGTAAAATGTTTTGATAAGTGGTTATACACACTTTTTAAAAAATTTGGTGGAGAGGGAGTTTTCTCCAAAGCCCAAACCAGCAGCCTGTAGAGGTCATTCTGAAGAGACCAGAGGCTTCACTCCATCACCTAGAATGACACAAAGTTGCTAAATGCGTCAGCATGATAGAGCCTCTAAGAAAAAAATGGCTCACACGGATGCGTGTTTGATTCTTACATTTGATATTCACAATAACTTTGAAGAGGTTTGTACCTTTAACGAAGTTTGACATTCAGTTTGAAACCATCTCTGATGTACATTTTTATGAGAAACATGTGGAGAATTTGCTCAACATAACACAGGTCAAAATGCTACGATACTTAGTGATCTTGACATTTCCCTGGAATAATAAAGACCAATTTTCCTTAACACTGAACAGGAAGTGTATAGTTGAGTCACTCAAAATAAATATTCTTGGAATACTTTAACTGCTTCACAGAGGTATTTTATGTTAGGGTAAGAATTAATAATTTGGTGACTGATAGCAGGCAGTTACTGGCTCGTTTGCGGAAAAACTTTGAGAACACATCTCTGAAACATTGCATGTGTAATTGTTGCTAGAAAAGAGAAAAAGAGGCAAAAAGAAGTGCAATTAGTCTAATCACTGAGTGTCCCCAGTATGAGGGTTTGTTTTTTTTTTTTAAAGATTTTTGTTTGTTTGTTTGTTTGTTTGTCAGAGAGAGAGCACAAGCAGGCAGAGGCAGAGGGAGAAGCAAGGAGCCCAATGCGGAACTCGATCCCAGGACCCTAAGATCATGACCCAAGCTGAAGGCAGCCACCAAACCGGCTGAGCCACCCAGGCGTCCCCCCAGTATGAGTCTGACACTAAATAACCAAGAAAACACTAGACTCGAGCATGCTGAACCCTCCACATTCCATTCCTGCTAGGAGACCAGCATCCATCAGACCTCAGGCTGCCCAGGATGTATTACGGATGCCGGGACAGATTCCCTGGGACACTGGATCTGAAACTGTGCTCAAGACCATGTCAGAATGGACCAAA